ACTCCACTAGCCTAGTTGGTGGGATTTCTTAGTGGTCTCCCATTCAAGCGCTAACCAGACCAAGCACAGCTTAGTTTCCAAGTCCAGACAAGGGGACCTAGGGGGCTGACCACGTCAAGCTCCTCGGGAGAACCGTTCTTCTGTACAGTTGCCATCCGAAGGGCGATTTTCCACTTCAGCACTTAAATAAAAATTGAGAAAGGGGGGGGGGGTCTGTCACACTTCCGCACCCCTCGGTCCTCTTCTCCGTCCCATATCTCCAAGGGGCGCTCCTGCTCTTTCCCCTCGAAGGAAGGAAGGAAGGAAGGCGCCCGCTTTTCCGCCGGGGGAGTCCCGGAGAAGTCCGAGCCAAGCCCGGTTCAGATGAAATGGATCCAGGCGCCGCCGCCGTCGGGTTCCTGGCCATTGGGCCGCTGCCTGCCTCGCAGTTTGTAGTTGTGGCCGTCGTTGTTGTCCCAATACTCGGTGTCGGCCACGCGGTAGCGCACGGCGAACTCGAGCAGCGTGGTCCCGGCGCCCACGGGCAGGTGGAAGGCGAAGCGGTCCGTCTGGCCGTCGTGGGCGGCGGCGGGCGGCGGCAAGTAGGCGGCGGGCACCTCGTTGCAGCTGGCCCAACGGTTGAGCGTGTAGCGCACCGAGACGCTCTTCTCGTAAGCCAGGTTGAGGACGCGCACGCCGCCGCGCAGCCCGGTCGCCTCGGGCCGCACCCACTCCAGCTTGACTCTGTGCTGCCGCACTCGCTCCGCGAACCCCGAAGCGGCGCCGGGCTGCGGCGGGAAGAGCGGCTCCAGCATGGGCGCCGGCGGCCCGAAGAGTACCGGCTCTAGCTCGCCCAGCGCCGGCGGCTTGCGGGTCTTGAACAGGTCGGCTCCGCGCGGGAGAGGCGAGGCGGCCAGCGGCGCGGGTGGCGGCGGAACCTGCGGCACGTCGGCTTGACAGAAGTGGCGCACGGTGGTCAGCTCCAGCCCCAGCGAGTCGGCGAAGCGCACCGTCTTGCGCCGCGACGGGCTCTGCTGCAAAGCCGGTCGGAGTCCCCGGTCGCCCGGCGTGGGCAGGGACTTGGCGCGGCGGCGGAGGGTCGGGCTGGGAGGCACGGGCGGGAGCGTGGGCTCTCTGCCGCGGGTGGCCGGCAGCGGGGAGGAGAGGGGCGGCGAAGGGGAGCGGGGCGGCGGCGGCGGAGGCGGCGGCGGAGGCGGCGGCGACCGGGGCAGCTACTACTCGGGCGGTGGCGGCGGCGGCAGCGGCAACATTAGGATGAGCAGCCGACCGGGCGGCCTCGGCTTCGCGGGTGACGGGCGGCGAAGGGGGCGCGGGCAGCGGCTCCACCGGCGGCGGAGGCGGCGGCGACCGGGCGGCCTCGGCTTCGCGGGTGACGGGCGGCGAAGGGGGCGCGGGCAGCGGCTCCACCGCCTCGATCTCGGGGCTGCATCCGCCCTTGCATTGCTCGGCCAGGCTGCCGTAGAGGCAGGCGGTGCAGCTGAAGTTCCGCGGCAGGTAGAGGCGCGGTGGCGGCGTGGGCACCGAGGCGTGCAGGGAGCCGGCCTTCTCCATCCTGCCGCACCGGCTTCTCCTCGGTTGCGGGGGTCACTCGGCGGCGCCTAGCGGCTCTCCTCGGCTGCGCATAGCCGGGCTCGGCGCCTCTCCCGCGTCCGCCAGGCGCTCGGACGAGGGTCCCCGCCTAGAGCAGCGCCGCCAGGGCCCCGGAGGGAGCCGAGCCGGAGCTGGTGCCGCTCTTCCCCGCGGCGGAGGTGCTGCGACTGCCGCTACTCCGCCGCTGCTTGTGCCTCTGCGGCTACTGACGTTGCGGAGCCCTGCAGTCAGTGAGAGACGCGCCGGGCCGCGGGTCGGCCTAGCCGCCCCTTCGGCTCTGACTCCCGCCTCCGCCTCCCCCGCTCGCCGGCTCGGGCCGCTCGTCCTCCGCCTGCCCTCCCCGCGTCCTTCAGACGGGGATGCGTGTAGTGGGAATCCCCCGCAGGAACAGCCACTCGCTCAAAGCCGGCCGGGCCTACGTGGCTGGGCGGACGGACACAACCCAAGCTCTTTTCCACTTGGAGAGCCGGTTCCGCTTCGGCCGCGCAGTCGCCGGGCGGTGGCTCTCCCCGGCTTTTGCTTCGGCGGTCCCGGCAATTCGGGACCGTTTTCTTTCCGCAAAAGGTGGTGGATGGAGAGCCGGGCGGTTTAAACCCCGGCGGGCGATTCGGGTGGCAGCGGCGCAACCCCTGACAGAAGGGAAATTCCTCCTTGCCTGCAGTTGGCCGGCAAAGTTGGGATGAACGAAGCGCAGTTCCCCTTGAGCAGTAAAACGGCCGGGTGCGTCTTCTGGCCAAGGGCGCCTCTCTTTCGCGGGATAGGCTGAAGAAGAAGGAAAACGACCCTTTTTATGCTAGGGTGGCGAAGTCGTGCGACTCCAACCCTTCCGTATTGCCGTCTCTCTTGATGCTTTGGCTGAAGGACGATGACGTGGGAAACGGGAGGAAAATCTGGGCACTTGGTGGGAGTGGAAACGTGACTTCCATCTGAAATAAAGAGGCTGCTTCCTTTCTCAACTTCTCTGAGTCATTTCCCCATCTGGGCATTTATTCTAGCGCTGTGAGTTTTATACGAGCCTCATCTAGAACGTTATAGGTAGCTAGATGGATATTTGGAGGGGAAGTTGCGGGTAGGGAGTAGATGAATTCCTCGTAATTAATACTTAACTATTCTGCTTTCTCATTCTTCAGAGGTGAATAATATAATTCTTTATTGGACACACACACAGGAAATTTGCCTCGGGAGCGCAAGCTCTCAGTGTACCATACAAACAATAAGGTTGACACAGTAGGTCATCGTAAGATACAACAGCAGGGGATAAATCATAAATACCAATAGGAGAAAGGAGTAGGAAAGGCGAGAAAGAGAATATCAATGGAGATAATATTGATACAGAATAAAGATAACATCGATATATTCCTCAATGAAGGGGGAATCCTGCAAGCCAGTTTCCCTAGAATCATTTCAACAGTCTTTGCTCATGATTTTTCACTAAGAGATTCGGAGAAAATGGGCAATCAGGTGTGATAAATGCACCCCTGGGGGAATCTCTCTCGTCAACGGATTTGTCCTTGGAGGAAGATCTGTTAGGGCAGGGATGCTTGTAGAATTACAGCGAGGCTCTCCATCAGGTGGCTGATTTTGGTGGCCCTTTGCAGCCTTTGGCCACGATGGAGGACCTTCTCTCTTTGCTGCAGGTGAAGCTATCTAGTTTTTCTCTCTCCTTTGTTCAGTAGCTAAGTCGTGTCCAACCCTTCACAACCCCATGGACCACAGCATGTCATGCTCCGTTGTCCTCCAGCGTCTCCCGCATTTTCCCCAAATGTATGTTCATTGCCTCGATGATGCTACCTAATCATTTCATCGTCTGCCATCCTCTCTTCCTTTTTTGGACCAAGTTATTTGCGCTTCAGTTTCAGGAGCTGCCCTTCCAAAAACAGACTCAAGAATTGATTTCCTTTAGGTTTGACTGATCTAATTTCTCTGCAGTCCAAGGGACTTTCAAGAGTCTTCTCCAGCAACATATTTCTCTCAAGCACTGACTATTCTTGCCTGCCTGTCTGCTTATCTAGTAACTACTAGCTGATAACATGGCATTGCCCGGGTATTTATAGCGAGAGAAAATGTCCAGACCAAACATAATTTCTAATGTTAGATAATTTCTCCCTTACCAGAGGGAGCATCTTTGTGGAGCACTGTGAAGCCGTTACTATGGCAATTCCACTGCACTGTACACTAGAAGCCATTTTAAGGCACAACAGGCTGTATCTTAACAGAACACACACACCCGTGGAGTGTTGGGGGTGTCTTACCCCCACAATGTTTCTAGAGTAAGCCATTTGTGTATCAAGCTTGGGTGAAATTTCTCGAGGCATTCCAGAGATGTTGGAAACACACGCGCGCGCGCGCACACACACACACACACACACACACACACACACTTTTAGATATATAGGTCGGTCTGTCTATCTATCTATCTATCTATCTATCTATCTATCTATCTATCTATCTATCTATCTATCTATCTATCTAT